CCCCAAAACCCCAAAACCCCAAAACCCCTGAGGATAATCAAATGAGTTATGAGGTGAAGATAATTAAATTATCAATTTAAATTCAAATTATTAACAAGCAAATGTCTAGCTCCAACGCTTCATCTGCTTTCAGATCAAACTTACCAAGCAATAAAAGCTCTACTACAAGTTTGCCACCTACATTATAAAGTCTATAATTTACTTCCTCAAACTCAAATCTAATCAATAACTCTACAATGCAAAATCCATCAGTAACTTAAAGCTAAATCTTAAATGGGAATAAATTTCATTCAGCTTTACATCATGGACGGCAGAAAAGTTCAGATCCTCTAGCCATTCTGAATCATAATAATATTCTTGAATAAAATCCTATCTATTCCTCTACTGATCACAATGTAACTTAGCAATTTCTGTAATTTTCCTATTAGAAATTTATCGACAAAGTATTTGATAACTACAGATTCATGATTAATCAATTTAATTCAATTTGCGCTCATTAGCAAAATCATCAATAATTAAAGATTTAATAAGGGCCCTTCAAGGTAATTTATTCTCAATTACATTCTTTTTAGAATCTTAAAGAGGCTCTAAGAGTAATAACTTAATTCTCACAAAAGACTTTACAAAAACTAGAAGAGTCTTTAATTCAACTAAGCAGATTTAAGGATAAGGATGAAAAAATAAGAATTATAGAGGAATTAAACGAACAAATAGAAGTCATGAGATTATTGCTTGTTTAGGTATAATAAAAAGAGATCTAAGTCTATCAACAAAAGCAACTTATAAATGACAATTTGATAGAGGAAATATAGAGTTAGCTTAATTTCTAAGAAACCGAAAGATAACTTAAAATTTAGGATTATCAGATGAAATTGGAGACTCAATGTAAAATGCTAGCTTAGATCATGAGAGAAAATGAGAGTCTTAAATAAGAATGCAGCTACAATAAATCACTCTTGGCCTAGACTTAGGCATAACTGCAAAATTACTGTGTTCAGAATAACTCTGAAAACTTTTAATTAAATACCTCTGGTGATATCAATCTTGGTGATTCTAGACTAGATACAAATCTAAACTAATAAGACATCGATAATTTAGTCATCCTTCAGTAAAGCCAAATCAATATTGGATCTACAAATAACTTTTAGAAGAGATATTTGAATCAAAATAACACAAGCATGGATCAATAAGAAAGTATATTGCCTGAAGGCTACTTATTTAAGGCAACCTAAATTACAGACTAGCCTAATCAAAGCCTTAAAAACGAAGTTGAATCTTTAAGAAATAAAGTTTAGGAATACCAATAAAACTATATCAAGAAGGATTACCTTTTCTAATTAGTCGATAGACTTCAGTCTACTTTTCAATCAATTGAGTTTGATGCATCATCAATAAAGGATTTAATTTAGGGGATAAGTAATCAAACTTAAAATCTCAGTCTGCACTAATCTATGGATTCACTGGCACTCTCTTAAAGTCAGCCAAGTCAACAGATATAGCAATAACTCAGTGATAATTTTGATCTTCTTTCGTAAAGAATCTAGAATGCATTTGCTATGAACATTCAACAATAGCACTCTTAAACTGAAATAATTGAACTAAAAACTGAGATTTGTGAAATTAAAAAGAAACTTCTATAAACTGAGTAAAAACGAATCGAAGATCTTAACGCAAAGAATATGTTTATCTAAAAACTAGAGCAGTAACTCTCTGATGAGTAAAGAAGAAGGATAGAAGAAATGGATGAAAAGGAAAAGAAAATTGAGGAACTTGAAAGAGAAATAGAAAGTACAATTGAGTAACAAATTAATGAGAATTAAAATTTGAGAGATAAAAATGATCTTATCTCTACATAGGTAATCAAGTATAATGAAATTGAAAAAGAAATCATAAGATACTATGGAGATCAGTATCTGAACTTCAAAAAAGGAGATCTTACATTTATGGTCCAGAAGTTAGTTAATGATAATGAAAACTTAAAGCAAACATTAGAATAGAGAGATGAAAGTGTTCAACAAGTAATAAGAGACTACGAAGAAAAGTTTTAAGAAAAGGAAAGGCAGTATTTAAACTAGAAAAGACAGTTGGAACAAGATCATGCAAAGATCATAAAAGATTTTACACAAACTCATAATCAATAGTTATCATAAAGAGATCATGAGATTCATTAGTTAAAAACTAAAATGGCCACTTAGATTGACTAAATTTCTTTGACTCTAGATGACAATTTAGCCTAAAACAGAGAACTTAATTAGCAGGTGAAAACATTTAAGAATGATTTAAACAATAAAGAAATAAAAGAAAAGTAGCTTTTGGCTAAAATTATGAAGCTAAGAGAGGATAGAAGCTAGTATAGATAGCAACAATAAAAGCTTTAAAACTATTTACTTGAGATATCTGAGTATGTATTATCTATTGAAAACGGCATTAATTTGAAGAAGAATCTATTTAAAGAAACTCAAGAGATTGACAAAAGAAAATATGATACTAATTAAGCTATAGTAGAACAGATTTAACAAGTAAAGGACAGTCTCAAAATCATTAATGATTAGGTGATAGAGGATTTGAATAATAAAAATAAGTAGTTCACAAGAAACTAATCAATCTAAACTGATTCTTTTAATCAAATTCCAAAGTAAATAGTTATTAATCAATAGCAAGATCACAATCTTTATTACGAAGAAATCTTAAGGATACTAAAGCACTAATAAAATAACTCAGCTAGACAAGATAATGATTCAGAGCTTATAAATATGCTAGGATCAAAATTAGAGGAGATCAAGTGTTAAATTGCTAAGCAAGAATAACTTATAAAGTCCCCTCATAATTAAACTATAAGGCAGCACCAAGCTTCATGCTAGTTGGAGACTCATACTGTTCAAAAGTAAATACATATGGAAACCACTAATCAAGATGGTACTACACCTAAAGTCAAGAAATCTAGATCTTACTTGTAACTTCTCAACAATAACAATAATGAAAATATGATGAGACCATTCAATATGCCATTAAGTAGTATGAACTAGTAATCAAGGTATAACATCATGCAAGAAAATATTATTGATGAAGAAGATAATAATCTAGGAAATTACACTCAATTTTTAATGTAGTAAGAAGGAATTGAGAATCATGAGGAGCTAGGGAACAGTAAATTTTGGTTTGATATGTATCAAAGAATTAAAAAGGAGATTTCAAAGGAGAGGAAGATCACATTAGAAGCACAGTCAAAGCTTCAAGAAAGAGAAGATGAAAGTTTCTAGCTAAAGTAGAAACTCTATCTTGTCTCAAATGAAAATTAGACACTTGAGAAGTTAAATGCTTAGTATCTTCATTAGATTTAAGATGTTAAAGGACAATACCTAGTTAAGGATAAGAATAAAAATATACAGGAAATTGAAGTTATTGATGGAGTTATCGATGAATTCCAACAAGTTAGTAAATAACTTAAAGGTGATTTTATGCTTTAATTGATTGATAGACTCTAAAATATTAGGGAAAACTATTAAAACTCAGAAAATCAATCACTCAGCTAAACTAATACTATGGAGACCTTGCAGCATGAGAGTTTCTTAAGTTATGTCTTGATTGAAATAATGAATGTGTTCAAAGTATTGCTAAAGCAGCTATAACACACAATGAAAGAGCTCCATAAATATAAAAGTAGTTCAAACGTTAATGATTAGTCTAGGTAATACTCTAAATCCCCTTTAATAGAAAATTATGATGAGTATAGCAGGCAGTAATAATAATACTCAAAACAGCAAAATAACAACTAAAGCATTAATCATTAGTAAAATTAAAGTACTCAAGAACAATACATAAAAAATTAAAAGCAAAATGATAGAAGTATAAGGGAAAGGGATAATTATCAACCTTTCTAAGAAATTTCAAGCATTATTACTACTTAGAAATTCCAGCAGGATAATTAGAGGTTGGGAGTAGGATGCAATGAAAGTATGCAAAACATTGCAATGACCGATCGATCTTATCAGCAGCATTAACAGTAAAACAGTATTCATAAGTAACATACCGAAAATATTCCCCCCAAGTACTCTAATAGAAAAGGTTCATAAAGTAATTTTCCATCATTCAAACATCCCATTGATTAAAATGCCACTACTTAAATGACTCAATAATCTATGATTATGAACAACATGAATTAATATCAAAATCATAGCCACAGGCATGAAAATACATTCTAGAGATTCCAATAGGGTTAACCATTGACTGAAAGACAGAGATTAGAGCTCTATGAATTAAGAACAGCAGCCATACGCGAAATAGAAGAAGCAGAAATTAAAGGCAAAGAAGCAGATCCTTACTTGAAAAAATACGTTAAGAGTATCAATGATTTACTCAGTAAGGCGCTTAGCACTCATAATATTAACTAGCTATATTGATTTTTAATTTTTCCAAATTTCTGAAAATAAATAATCACGGGGTTTTGGGGTTTTGGGGTTTTGGGG